GACAGGAAATAATGAAAAGAAAAATTTGGCCCTTTTTTGGAGGTGAATTTTTTTTATATTAGTGCTGATGTGTTTTTATTTGTTTTATGACAACTAATATTTATTTGCTTGGTGTCAATCAATGAAGACAAAAGATGGCCCCGTAGATATGTTTATTGATGATTTGTGTTAACACTGTAGTGTTCAGATTCAATTTCTGTGGCAGATGTTCAATTCTTACATTTGAGTTGGTATCTGACTGAGAAATGAGCAAAGTAATGCTTGTCCTGTTTCTAATTGGCGAATTTATTTTTAAGAGCTGCTCATCTCTGAAGAGCTGTAAAATTTAATAATTTCCCTTAATTAAAGCAGTGGATGCAAATGTGATTCTGCAATAATGCATGCACTTTGTAAATAAAGACAACTACTTGTAGAAAAATCAATTATAGCTTTTTGCGTCTTTGAGAATCTGACAGGTTGTGGCCAGTGCTGTTTCTAAATAAAAAGCACCATTGAAATCACTATAAGTCCATACTTCATAACCAAATTGTTCCAACTTCTTCAGATGAGTAGCATCATGGATATTACTTGTATCTCATTTTGTCTCATTTGTTATTAGATTTTGCTGTATTTTTCAGCATTGTCAAATATTTATCTCCATTAAACACTTGTAAATGTCTGTCTACTAAACCAAAGTAGCTGATGGAAAACAAGACAAAATGGAGTTATAGTTATACTTTAATCCATTATCCCTGGTCTGTTATACTTGACATTTCCTCCTCATCAGAGCAGATTTTTTTTTATCTGTATTTGGTCTGGTTAGTTAGTAGTTCAAAATCCTTTTGTGGCTTAATTCGCTGTACGAAGTTCATTAAATATGTTTTAATTTATCCCTCTGATACCTGTTTAGTTAACTTTAGCCAGAGGAAATAGAAGTCAAGTTTTTATCGCCAATTTTGAATGTTGAAATTAGGCAGAAGCTTGAACAGTGGCTCGAGAAAGTAAATATTTTGATTAGAAATAAATAAACATCAAATGCTTAACAAAAATAAATTGGCATTAACTTGAAACCGGATACGTTTAGTTGACAGAGTGGTTGGTTGTTTGTGTGAACAGGAGGCCGGTATAACCCACACTGGTCCACTGAGCCGTTTGTGTTACCAATGATGGATGGGGGCCATGTTAAGGGAGATCACCCTGGACATCAGGACATTGTTCCTTGTCTATTGTCTCTGGTCTTGTAAGGCTAAGCTACTGTACAAACCCTATCATTACACCCATTTTCTTCTGAATATGAAATAGCTATGCCCAGAAAAAAAAAATTCTCAACTCAGAATCTGAAAGGAGAATTTAGTTGCCCCAGGTTCTATAAGATATGCCGATGGATAAGTTCAATGTGTCTGCCAGTACAACATTTAGCTATTAATGAAAACCTTTGCTTGTATCTGAAGTGTCACAGGTTGTTCTGCCTCGGTATCTAGATATCAGGAAAAAAAAAACATGACTTCTGAGTAAATCTGCTGATCATCAGCAGTGTACTTGATAGTGCCACACTGCCACCCTGAATTCAAAGTCTACATCTACAAGGTTTTTACTTCCCAATTCACAGAAATAGTGTAAATGTTGTTTTGAAAATGATTAATTTACATAAGTATTCGTGCATGTTGTTCAGCATTTCCTTAATTACTATTTTAATTCACAGAGACCTTCTACAAGTTAAAATTTGTCCTGTTGTGTTGTTTACCCTTGAAGCATTCAATGTAAATTAGACTGGAGAAATAGATTTAGCAGGGGGACAGGAAATGCAAAAAAAAATCCGTAATTGTTACTCATTTCTTTAGTCCTGGGTAGTAAACTAAAACATTGCTAAAGCAGCTGTGAAAAATCATTTTACACAAACTTTTTTTTTTTATAAAATCAATTTGATAGAAGGTAGTCAAACTTTGAGTACACTTTTCCATGCATTCTTGGCAATAGCCATGGAGCAGATATAAAAAGGTTTGGCTGTAGCTGAGTAAACATGCCATTCTGGGGGTCAAGTGATTTGACTTCTGTCTGTTAGACTAGCACCTGCCAGGAACAAAAGCTAAGCAGAGCAGCCTCTGTGTCATGATTTGGTGAGATAATGGAGGGGGAACTTGTCCCGAGGACATCCTATAGCGCTAAGGTTGTCATGGCATTGAAACCTGACGTAGGGCAACTTCTGAACCAAAAATGTCACCGTGAACAAACAAGAAAGGTGGAACCTCCATCTGTTTATCTGTTACTCCACAGGGAGATTAAGACCAGAATATTGCCCACCATGAGAATTTAGAGTTTATGACACCTCTTTTTGTTTCATTAATCTTCCCTGCACATGCATTAGCAAATGTTAATTCTGTTGTCTTCACCATAATTCATAAATGTGAAACAAGGTATGTGTATAATGAGTTCTGTAATTAATGCAAATGAGATTTTCCTGCTCATTAAAAAACTTTAAAAAGTGGTGTCAGAATTCTCGCATATGATCCTCCATCAGGAACACTTAACAGTGACCTATAATGGGCCTTATTGTCAACATTAATTTAAGGTGTAGTATGTAGGTAACATGAAGTGGTAAGCAATGGACCATTAGCATGGCAGAGGACAAAAATATGACAGCTAATGGGGCAACCGTGATAAATTCATAATTCTGTGAAATATTGCATTGAATTTTAAAATTCTAACAACACTTTGCCTTATGGAGATGTCAAGTTGCTCTGTATCATTCATCACCATTAAATATTAAGTACAGAATCAGTGTGTAGTTCTGAATGATTCAGAAAAACAGAATTTTCTTCAGCATGTTTTCAAATTATAAGCCATTGCATTAAATTCCATAGGTAATTATTTCAAACAGGTCTCTGGTGATTTTGACTACAGAATGGCTACCAGTGGGCTGCGGTGATGACTGCGATTGATATAATGCTCAGCATTATTAGTCCAGGAAATATCATCTCTCATAATACATTTTTATGATGATTATTGTTTTTGTGCTTGTCTGAGGAGCAGATTTATTAGACGTGCCGATCTTCTATGGACATGTGAACCATCCGATAATTACCATATTCTGCAAGCTCTACTGAGACTTTAATTTCCTTTGATATAAGAATAGTAACTTCCCAGCGGAAACCTTAGGGACATGTTTGAGACCTAATATCCCTTTTATAGCCATTTTTTCCTTCAAAGTTCGATATTGACTTTAAATTGTAAATATATATATCTACGGTAATCCAATACCTTCAACTCTGTTATGAAAGAACACATCTTTCACATCTAGATGTTTTTTCCCCTTTGGATGCATTTTTTTTTTTCTCTTTTTTTTTTTTTACTAAATGCATATTTTTGGATTCTGATTGTTGAAATATCTTTTTCTCTCCCCTCGTATTGGATCAAGTGGTCATGCATTTTTTGACTGGTCATGTGACTCTCTTGTTTTGATTTGTCATATTGGACTGTGAGAATCCCCAACATTTTAAATGTCTGTTTGTGCCCTTGTCACTTAAAACAACCACATTTCTCAAAAATAAATAGTTCTCTAGGTGTGCTTTTGTCCACTTTTCTTCACAGTTGTAGAATTTCCATGCTTTGGTAATAGTTTTCAAGGGTATGTTTGTGATTGGGAAGTCTTGCTCGTGAGGTTTGTGTCAAAATTGCACAGCAATCGGTACAGGTTCTTACACCTGAATGTTTGCAGTGTGCCATCAAAAATGTTAATGGAAGCCGATAACACAGGGGGACTAAAAACTTAGCAACAACCCTCTGCACAAACTATTCTTTGACTTTTTAAACTTTGGTAGTAAGGTCGAAGTGCTGTCAAGTGTTGAAATAAGTTATCTCAAGAACTCTTTAATTAGGAATTGTGTTCTGATTATGAGAGCTGTTATGTGAGCAAAAACAAATAATTTATTGATATTATGGTCCAAGGTGACCAAAAAATGTAAAATGGTATTATGCAGGGTTATTAAGGAGATCCCGGTATCAATGTATCTTTTATGCACACAAATACCTAAGAAAGGGAATTAAAAAATCATGCTACCCCCCCAAAAAATGAATTTTTAAGACAGGAGACATCTTTCAAAACTTAGATAAGTCATTCATAGAGCTGAAAGGAATTATGCATATTATGCAGAAAAACAATCATTTAATGAAGTTCTTACTGCCTCATCTGGTACATACAAAAGAGATATTCTCAGTGAAGTTTTCCCTTCTGGAGACTCGTCTTGTGTTTGCTGCCGTACTTGGTTATGTCTTTTCTCTATAGTACAGGCTCCCTCTGGTGGTGTAGCAGTGCTTCGGATGCCTCCAGCATTTCCTTTCGTGTCACTGAGGATGCTGAAAATAGCAATGTAGAACAAATAATATTTATGATGAGTGGGGCAGTGAGAGCTCTTAGGGCAGCACTTTATGAAATCCCCCAATTACAGCATTCCTGTGTACTTAGGATCTGACTGCAGGCATGCTCACCTGTCGTCAAGATCAACAACCTCCAATTAGTGAAATTCAAATTGTAATGAATGATGCACTCGGTGCAATATAGCCAAGATCTCTTGGGGTTCCATCCAGTGCAATATGAATTGCATCTCGCCTTTCTAACAAGAGTATTTGAATTTTGTTGATTTTAAAACAAATTTTAGATTTTTTTCTTATGAATTTTTTAACAACCGTTCTATAGGCATGGATTAAAAAAGTGAAGTCATGTTTCTAAATTTCATATTGCTTTCTGTATTGAAAGCAGCAGATATTACTGCCACTGACTGATTGCTGGGGATGATAGGAAGTTAGAATTTTGTGTGACATTAGACAAATTATTGCCATTCAGCTGACAAAGTTTTGTATTGCTTCCCCCATGCAGATACAGTTATAAATATCAAGATATTACAGTTACAAAGTATAAAACTTGGCATTGTTCTCATTTCACACCAACAAAATGAAACAATTGCTTAAATAAAAATTGAAATGAATTAAAATGTAAAATCACTATTTTATATTCTTCTTTTTAGGGATCGACAAAACTGCCACTGTGGAACTGAAGCGACCAAAGCCAAAGGAGTTGGTGCTGAATTCAGAGGTTCTGCTGAAATGTCAGATCACTGGAAACCCAGAGCTGCTGTTTGACTGGTACCACAACACTTTCAGGTTAGAACAGTACACTGGACCACAATATATTTCAGTTTAGAGGCTTATAGTGTTGCATGCAGGTTTGGTTTAATAAAAAAAAAAGGACCCTGTGCCCCAATTCAAAATCTCCAACATCCAGAGTCGATTTGAAATCAAGCCACATTTGGATGAAATCACTCAGTATGTTATGTGTAATATAGTGTCAATGACGTCAGTAGAGGATCAGGTTTGAATTCCACTTTATTTTTCAAAATTTTGAATATACCGCATCTGACAAGATCAAAAGAAACTATATTCTGTTAGAAAAAAAATTGATAAGGCTTTATTTACATGTTCCTTAAACAAATGAGGTAATCATATTTTAAAACTAAACATTTGATCAAGCAAAAACTCTTCAAAAGTATCCTTATATTAAAGAAGTCAGTGATACCGTGGGGTACTTAACTGAACAGTATTTGAATCCAGTGTTAATTTCCACTAATTTTTTTACAGACACAGATGTTAGGAGTGGGTAGCACTAAAGTCCTTGGCAGGCTGGGGGGGAGGGGAGAGCCAGGGGGCAGAGCAAATGTATGCTCTTGAGAACCTATTGAATACTTATTTATTTCCTTACAAAAGAAAAGAAGGAATTTTGTTAGTCCTAAATAGCTTATTGCTAAGACTGGAGCTTATGCTGAATTCAAGATGCCTAGCAAATATGATTTTCTACATAGCCAGAGAAATGCTAAGGTACTGCCCTCAAAAATATGCCAACTAAAATGCAATTAGAGCCAAATATTTTTTTCTACATGTTACTACAGTTTATTTTCAAAATATTAATCACTGCAGTAGTCTGTTTTTATATGACAGTGGATTGTTTGGAGAATGATGTTTTAACACCTTGCCATCCCACCATTATTCCAGCTGTTAAAATTACTTGTATTTTGACAAGCGTCCACTGCATGCAGAAACAGCATCAGACTGGAGAGATAACCCAAACACTGTAAAAATGATTTCTGGTGCATATTAAAGAAAAGATTCAGATAGGAAAAAATGGATTTGTTTTACATAAAGTGATGTCATACATATTATGAATAAAGTCAGTCAGTACCCTGTTAAATGAAATATATATATACACATACATGTATACCCCCTGGTACATAAATATATTTTATTACCAAACTTTTACTATAAGGAGGAAGGGGAAAAATTTGAAAAATTTCAATTTATGATTTTTTGGAGAAATTTTTGATGTATTTAGCTTAAACTCAGTGATTTATTGAGCCCAGTTTAATTTTCAAATTTTCTTAATCCCGATATGCTCCTTCTTGTCTGTTTTTATTCCCCACGCAAGTCATCATAATTACGTCAGGTACATTGGAGGGTTTTCAGTGTTCATTAAGTTGGTAGCTTCTGTCATTCACTATTTGTTTATAGGAATATGATGCAGTGTATATAGTAAATGAATGATGCAAAAACACAAGAGCTCAATCAAAAAACTCTAAACCTGACATAGAGCCCAAGTGTTTGACGAAGAAAGTTGATGCTTTAAAATCATCAAAATTTCTGGATGTACATACAAATTCATACCTACGGGCTATGCTGACTTCTTGCAACAATTGTGCAATTACACAAATTACCCAACCTCTGAAAATGTCAAATGCTATCACTCAGCAAATCATCAGCATGATCTTCTTGAAGAAAATTCCGACATTTGCTGTTAACATGTTGATCATGCAGCTCTAAACTTGTTAACCTCTTGACGTTTATTTGTATAAGGTTTTCCACGTCATCTTTATTTTCATGAAACTTTTTTTTTTGGCAAATTGTTTGTCTATCTGCTAAGAAAGTGTTGACTTAAAAATACTGAATTAATCCCTGACATGTACGAAGGATTTCTTCGTTCCCAGAATGCTGCTTACCCGTGACTCACAGGGAGCGTGGGGCTGTTGTAGGGAAGTGTTTGAAGTGCTGCTCTTCTAAGCCCAAGACTGAATATAATGGTAAAATTCAAACGATAGTCTCAAATGAAGCATGCCTATCAAACGTTTAAGCCTCCCTGATGAAAAAATTAATAAGGTGAGAACCTGCAAGAGGGAAGGAAATGATGCATCTATAATGTTTAAACATCTCCATGTCCAACACATCAAAGTAAGCTGATCCAGTTAGAGAGGTCTAGCAGTGTCAATCACTGCACCTCCACTCTACCTTAAGATAAATTTTCAACATCTGTATTTCCAATTTTCATTTTAACTTAAACTAACAATGATGTCTGGCTTTTCTGCTTGGGCTATTGGAGGGGTAAACATTGGTGATGGAAAGTAATGAAAATTCTGCTTCACTTACATTAGGAAATTAGTCAAGGTTCTGAAGCAGTCAATTCATACAATTCATCAGAATTATTTTGTGGCCAAATGATGAGGGGGGATTAGATGCTGGAATGTTAAGCCAATTTTTTCATATCAATAGATAATGAAATTATGTTATTGAAAATTGACTTTGAATTTAGCATTATTGATGGTAGAACTGTTGACCGATAGCATTTGAAAGGATTAAAGTACCTATTATTAATGCAGGGTGAGAATCAGGCTCTAGACTTGAGAAGTAGAAGAGTCAATAAAGATATATTATTATTGAATAGTTGGCAGATTTGTGGGAAAAATTTTATAAATAACAAATCTTGGTTCCTCTTCATGTGACTGACTTTGGTAGTTAGTGATTACATTTTGTTATCCCCCCCCCCCCTTTTGTAAGGCAACAGCTGGTTGGATTCTATCCATGTCTCTTTAGGCAAAGGAAATTCCTTGATTACATTACAATGCAAAGAAAATAAACTTGACTCAGGTTTTGAATAAGTGGCCCCTGTTTTCAGCAATGCATTCCTTGATTCGTTTGCCAGCAACTAATGTACAAAATACCTCAGTACAACAAATGGACGGACCAGAAGGGCTTCTTCTTGGGAAGTCCCCCACAATTTGTTGTTCTATGTCTCCTTCTTACTCTGTTTTCTGTTATAATGCAGGTGATCTTTGAAAGTTGAATACCTGCAATTTTAAACAGTTTCCATGATCTCTAATGACAGTAAACTCTTATAAAAATAAAATTAAGAGAAGTTTATTTTTAGTCATATCAGAGGTGATAGTTCAGAACAAGTGCTAACTTTTAATGGCGAGTCAAAGAAAGTGTTGTAATTGCAGTGCTGCATAATTCTTCAATATTTCCCTTAAATTTGTGAGAAAAGGAAAGATTTAAATTGAATGGATTTATTAGCTAGGTTACTGTAAATTAAGCTTGGTGAATAGAATTTAACTGTTTCAGGAATAGCTTCTTCTGCTCCCTTGATTGTAGCTGTGTGGATTTGACAGTTTCAGTTTAATTCTCATCTTTCTCCCTTTGTTTTTTCATCTGACTTTCTGACTTGCCCCACTCAGACTGCTATAGAACATCTGCAATTCCCACTCCTTTATTGAGCACAAAAGAGAAAACATGTCTTTATTTATATACAAGACAACAAAAATGTTTCTTTGAATGTTTACACTACAACATAGACACTCCAGAATACTTTAACACATGTAATGAATGCCAAACAACTGCTGCATTCAGGAAGCCTATAGCCTGTGCATCTCATTGCATGGTTGGTTTTGTTTTGCGGAAAACACTTTCAAATGGTCATCCGTCAACACATGCTACATGTTTTCCTTTCCAAGAACCTATATCTAAAAATATCCCAGTAGAAATATAAGAGAATTGCTGTTCAAGATAAAACAAGTTCAGGATATATCATAGGAAATATTTCTTGCATCTCTAAGCACAGAGAGAAAGTTCATCTCCACAAAGACACAGATCATTTACCCAAGTACTTTAAAACCATCAGGCTTAAAAAGTGGGGGGTTCTTTTTGTTTTTATTTTTTGGTTATACTGTCTCTGAAAGTATTGAAGTATTGAAGGACCAAAAAGTATACATGAAAGCATCGTAAACAAAGCACTGAATAATATTTTATTGGAGATTGGAGTTGGATTGCAGACCCTGTCATGCTCCTGGAAGTTGCGGATGCTGATAGATTTTGGTTGGCAGACGGCAGTCGGAGGGCATGTAAACTGTTTACAGCGGGGCCACCTTCTGTAGCCTACAATAGCAGGGCTGATGCAACACAGGCCTCTAATTGCCATTTAATAATGTCAAATTTCAATAGGCCACAGTCGGTAATCCAAACATGCTTTTTGTCAGCCATGGGGGAAAAGTGCAGCGCTTGTAGTGACTTCTTATAATCTCAGGAAATGGAGTTTGTGAAAAAAAAAGATCTGTGAATTACTGTGAAATAGAAGTAAGCTGAAAATAATAGGTGATGGTTGAAAAGTGGGGGGGGGGGGGTTTAACTCTCTAATAGGAATTTTCTTCTCCACTGCTGTAGCTTGTTCAGAGAGCACACAGATGTCGGATCTTGGCACCTTATTTCAGCTTTTGAATTATTTTGATAATGCTTGGGAGAAATGAATTGACTTCTTTGAATCATCAGAAAGATATTTTGTCTTGCTCGAGTTGAATTGTTTCTGAGCAGCAACAGTATTTCTGAGGTATACAGGCACACAATGTCAAAATAATGAGATAAACTACAAATATTTGTGTTAAAATGTGTCTTGTAAGACGTGTTTGTTAGAAGCTAAGGGTACTGAACCCACACAGGTAGCTGGATCTGTAAACACCTTGGAATATTCACAGTATAATTTTACTTATGACAAGTCAAAACAGCACCTGTTATAACAATACCACATCACATACTTTTTACAAAACTAGAATTGGATAAATGGTTAACATTTCACCTTATCATTGATTAAAAAGTTGATATGAAACTGATCAAAGATCATATGTGCCATACATTTCTCCTACGATTATGCATTGGAAATTGTATTACTTAAAAAAAATTGAAAATGAAACTAGGTGCCCCTTACACTGCCATCAGCCAATTTATTTGATTCATTGTTTTATTTTTTATTTTTTGGAAAATACAAAGAATAAGAATATATATTATGTAAGACAGTTAAGAATGCAGATGTCAACATTACAAGATTCAAAGTGAGAATGAGGCTTGTTAGGCCTGAGTAATGGGTGAGTCTAGTCAAAATGACAGTATTGTAAATTATGGCACCAACAGTCAAAGATAGAAAATCAGGTGAGGTCTGAAAGCTGATGCTACAAAAAATTGTGTGTCTTGTAAAAATCTGGAAAAAATGTTGGTGTGAAAAATGATCTTTTACAGAACAAAATAATGTTCTCAAAGAATGTTATGTGTTAAAGAGTTGCATCTGTACTTTTTCACTACTAAATAGTGAAGAAGTCATTTTTCTGAGATGCTCCAGTAAAATTTTGTGCTATGACATATATTAGACTTAATGGGAGTCGAAAGAGTTTTTGACATGAACAAAATAGTACATGGCATTGTTCATTATTTCAGATTGTTTAACAAGAACAGAATCAAGATTTTGGACAAGGGCTCCAAAGTACGCATTACAAATGTAACAGCGGAGGACAATGGCATTTATTCCTGTCGCGCAGAGAATACAGCTGGCGCCCGCTACAGCTCCGAGAACTTCCTGTTGAACGTTAAAGGTACAAAAAACAAATTTACAGAGAGATGGAAAAAATCAGCATACCATATTTATTGACAATACATGTTTTCCAATTGGTAATTTCAGAGTTTATTTTTTTCTACTATCCAATGTTCCAAAATCCAAATATATTCTGATACCAATGTACTTGGAAACTTTTAAGGTATTCTCCAATTCCATATGGGTTTGTCAGATCTTAAAGCTGTTAAAGTCATTCTCTGATTTTTGTCTCTTTAGGAAAGGCTCATTTTTCAGGTAAAAAACGCTCGGATATAAAGGCCCGAGATTATCCATCACTTGACGTGACATTCTATCTTAACTTGTCGTGTGATCGTGTCATCTGATTTAGGAAGCAAAGTGTTCAACAGATGAAATGATCTGATAAAGTTTCTTTAAAAAATATCACAGGACATACCCATCACTCACAACTGTTTGCTTAATTTATCTTTTCGATTTCTTTGACAGTCAGCTGTTGAATGGAAATTTGAGCATTATGTGTATGATCCATAATTTTAAAATGGCCACCCATACAATGAACTAAATAATTTTTCAAAAATGATATCAAAATATTGATCTATATTAATTCAGTAAAAACTTTTTTAAATGTATGAAATTCAAATGTTATTGCCATTACATCCATAGACATTACTCTATTGATTAAAATATGAATTGATTGTATACGCAATACCAATTACCAAATATTTTTGAAGTGATAGGTATATTTTGCTCCTTTTATTGATTAAAGTTCCTTCAAGTTTCTCATATGTCCATATTATAGCATCACATCAATGATAAAACTGAAAGTGCAGTAACATTTTAGTACAAGCACAAATCTTGTAAAATCAGATATAGCAAAATTTTGGAACCCACGGCTAGATACATTTTATGAATTCGCTACATGGATATCATGAATTACAGATATAGCAACGTTATATTTCACAGATCCCCTCTGACTGTGTTATAACCAAGTTTTACAGTACAAAGAATTTTAAAAATCATTTCACCACCTGATTATTCATTTTTTAGGAGCTTAGATAAAAATAAATCATGGACAATTCATATTCTGTATCCCCCCCAAAATAATTTTGTAAACACCACACTAACACACAAAAATTCCAGTTTTCTCTTAATCCACTATATTTATGGAAGATCCATTACCCCTAGTTGTTAAAGGAACATTATCCCCATGAAGACATTGGATACATATATGATGAAACCAAACAAAAATGTGACAGTGGCATGCTATAATGAGTTAATATCTGTGATCCAGGTGTTACGACTACCCAGTCTAAAATCTTGTACATATAATTACATGTAATGCTACACCCCCTTCTTCATAGCTTGCTGCATGATCACAAATAATGGTGAGTGATGTCACTAAGTTCCATTTGTCAGGACTGACCCCTTGGTCTTGTATTTCAGCCCCGGGTACTCCCCATCTCATCGAGAGCGAATTCACACGATCCCTGACGGTGCTGAGAAATGACCCCGCTCGTCTGGATTGTCCGTTTAAGAACGCAACTCGAGTTGACTGGTTCTCACTCCATGAAAAGATATCCAACAGTTCCAGGTATAGCATATCTTGTTGTAATGAGGAGCATGGGTAAAATTTATATGACTATTAAGTAGTTCTTCTATGACAATCCCTTATGTTAAACAAAAAGTCTCTCCTCTAATAGATGACAAAATCAAGCGACACATTGGCCATTTCCTAATTAGTCAGTCAGACACTGATGTATGATTAAAGTTGTTGCAAAATTCAGGTATTATATCCATAATGATGTCCTGACTTATAGAAGTTTGGGCTTAAAAATAGATTCATGTAAATAAATATTGCTAGGTTAGGTAGATTAATTTTGATTCTTCATATACATTCAAATTTTGGAATGCTCAAAGAATATTATCCACATGTACAATCATCCTAAACTTTTGAGAGATTTTTAGACATTCTTTAAAACACAACTTTTCATCTTTGAATTATATAATTTCTATATATTCAAAGTGTTTAAATTTTCTTAATTCAATACAATGTACAAAGAAGCAAAATGACCTCAAAAAGTCATTAAAAGCAAAATATACACCTGAACTTTTGATATTTCTTGAACATCAATATCTTGAAAACTCTCTCTTTCAGTATTCTGTGCTCAATATCCTGAATCCTCTAATTTTTCAGTTCCCTTGAGTTTAGGATAATGAGGTTTGACTGTATTTCCAATGCCTGAGAATGATTGGAAAACAGTAAAAACTTCAGCATTAGTTTGTAGGTTAATTCTAATGCCTGTACTAGATCATGTGCCTGCACCTTCCCACTGCTGGGATAATCAGGCATTTCTGGATTTCATAAATTACAGTTTATGATTTATTGCAGCTTATTATAAACCCAAGGCATCAGAGGTGATTACTTTTATGGGTGGTAATTAGTCAGTCTTGCATGCAGGCAATTTCAGTCCATAAGGCACCCTTGGTGGTCACACTCATTTTCAGATGGAAAAAAATCATAAAGGAGATTTTGTGTCAGTTTTTATAGAAAACCTGAGGCAGCTGAAAGTAAACCAAAATGAAATACACATTTAAAAAATTTATAATTTTCACTTTCACATGTATAACCTTTATCCATTATAATGCCAGTAAAGTCGAAAAGAGATGTTTTTTTTACTCTGTACAAAAGAGCAAAAATAATGCTCATTAAATTGGCATGTAGAGTCAAACCTTGTTATCACGGCATCAATGGGGATGAGGAAAGATTTCAAGATTTCTGATGATCCAAGATATTTACCAGTTCGATAAAAGTACACAAGAATAATAGTGAGGACTACCATTTCATTTTGATAGATCAATAGTGTTCAAAAATGCCGAAGCTTAACTTTTTATGAACAACGTCACCTTAAACAAATCTGAAAACTTTTTAAAAAATTGTCTTTAGTTCTTTTACCAAGACAGCATTAAAAAACAGCTGTATTACACTTTCAGGTACCAGGTTTTTGAGAATGGTTCCCTGTACTTTCCCAGAGTGAGGTCTTCAGATGAGGGCATCTATAGATGTGAGGGGCTAGGGGATAACAGGAGAATCCCCTCACAAACCTTTGCCTCAGAGCTGTTCATTGCCAGTAAGTATAGCTAATACAAGTACATTCACTTGTACCAACAATGGTCATAAAACTTGTTCCTTTTTTTTGAGCAGTTTTAGTATGTACCAGGGTATGTGCCACTTTGGTATGTCCAGAATACTTGATATCGCGATTACTTATCTTAGTGGAACTCTTTCGCGAAGGAGGTAGGAATCGTCTGTTGGATGGGGGCAATGTGCTATTCAATACAATGCAAGATCGATCATTGTAGCATTTATAAGGACAGATAAGTTAAAAAATCCTGGTGGACTACCTCACTAAACATTCGCTGAACCAGCCTAATATATTTTTGAGAGGAGCCAGTTCTAAATTGTCACATTTTTAACGATATTTTTAATTAAGCAGACTCTTCTAGTTAAATTTTCATTGAAAATCGTCACATTTTTAAACAGATAAAATATTCTAAACTTTCCTTATTTGGCGATCTACTATTTGAAGTTCAATATCTGTGCCATTAAATTGTTCTTTGATTGCCACTACTGTAAACAATGTCATTTGCCCCCAGAAATTTATACTTAGAAAAGAGCATGTACAAGACTATTACCTAATATTTAGAAGAGCATGTACAAGACTGAAAGTCTAAAATTGACTATATTATAAATAGAGTTGAATGAACTAAATTTTTAGACATATTGTCAGCTAATTCCTAGCACCTGTATATTTTTGTCTGATCTCATGTCCTGAGGTACAGACAGAGCTGTATGAAGTTTAATCATCTAAATTCCAGACCATAATCTTTTTCCTCTCTGGAAATGACTTTATACCATGTCATTTCCTACAGATTTGGGGCTCACGGTAGAAATAAAAATGGTAGACAGAAACAAGAAAATTGAGAGTTTAATCGGCCATAAAGGGCCATAGAAAAATAAATATTTCTGTCCTGTCTTTTGAGCACTTGTTATTTATTTTAAACAAGTTACTGCTTAAGCATTTAATTGGGTGTTGCGCTCATGATCCACATGTAATATGTTTATTCTATGCCTGTGATCCTCGCCTCTGCACTGTACTGTTTACATTTATGCAACCTTAAATCAAAACATCAGGAGCTCTTTAGAAGAAATTTAAATCTGGCTCAGCAGAAAGGAGGTATTAGAAGGAGCACCTGACATGCGGCTAAAAAACTTTCACAATGAGTGCCACCAGGAAAGAAAACAAAACAACGTCAGACATATGCCAAGAAGACTTGGAGAACTTGTAATCTGGAAAGCTTGATTAAATCAAATCCAGCCTCTGCAATTGTTCATAAGGACCTGACTGAAAAATTAAACTAAACTCATGGCCAAATTAAAAACAGTCAAAATTCTAACATAGAGAATATAAACTTTCATACTGAAAGACGGAGATGCCATGTTCCCATCAACATTGAAGCTTTCACAAAGTTTATAAATGTGCATCATTAAGGTAATGTTGCATTTCACAAATGAAGTGGCTCAGACCTCATGTATCATTCATCTTCAAGAAGCATATTGCACAAAGTTTTGAAAAGAGAGAACCCCCAGAATGAAAATTTAGCTTCAACATGCTCTAAAAGATTCAACAGAATTCTGCTTTATTATGCTGTGATTAATTGTCTGAAGAGAGGAAAAACACTTCTAAACTAGAGGAATTTTTCTAGTTAAGCAAAGTGACTAGAATTTCATCTATTAAGTTTGTACAGACATAAAATATGTCTTGTTACAGAGAAGATGGATTGGTGGCGAGTCTAGGTATAGAATGATAGTTTGTACAGACTGGGTTCTGCTAATGTCAGTACACATGGAATCTGTCCTTCTGACATCTAAAACATCTTTTATCGGATAAAGTGCTCTAATTTCTCTTACGAAGGAAACCATTTTAGTTTTCTCATCAATCTTAATGATACTGATTTATGTACTAGAATAAAAGAAATGAATTTCTTTTCTTTATATATGAAACGGGGGATTTTTTTGTGTCAGTCTGCACTATTTTTTTTTTTTGAAATAACCTGCATGAATCAGTAGAGGCAGAAGTTACGGTATATTTTGACAAAATTGATCTTATTAGACTCCAATATTTTACCTTGATTTGAGAAAATTCAGAAATGTTTATAAGATGGTGCTTTTACCATTCTGCATCTTATTATTACTTAGATTGGCAAAATCAGTTTTTTGTGTCAGTTTGCATATATGTTTTTTTTTGGATAAACTTGGTAGGTTCTCATTTCACACAAAGAATGACCCAAGGGTGTGTCATGACCTTGACCCAGTTTGACACATATCTTTTATGGCAGAACACAAAGTTATGACCCAAGGTGTGTCATATTTTGACAAAATTTATCTTGTTATATCTTTCTTATGGATAAACTTGGTAGGTTTTCATTTCACATAATATTGTTACCTTGATTGTAAAAAATTTAATAATTCGATGGATGCTTTTACCATTCTGCATCTTATTATTACTTGGATTGGCAAAAACAGTTTTGTTTTTTTTTTTGTAGCATTTTATTTTCATTACTTTGTATTTATTTGTCTTTTTTATCTGCATTTATACTACCACAATTTATTCAGAAAGGTTTTAGGTTAATGAAAATGGGACAGGTGTTCTTGATATAAAGAAAAGGTACAACCTCTGAAACCTTACTAATGTCAGAGTGGTAATGATGTGTGCTGAAAAAATAGTAGAAAGGCATATATGTACACTATAGGTAGATGGACATGGTACACTATACATACATGTGTATTCAGTGCACTTTATTATTGACATTTATGTTGAATTACATTTCAATTATAGAATGATAAAAAAATTTCATCAATCAAAAGTTTTTATATATTGAATTACTATCTATACATGAAGATTAGAGATTTGAGGTGTGTACTAAATAGAATGAAGAGTCTGTATGTTTAAGGTCAGAACAACTTCAGAATTATACAGTAACTACGCACTGTTCAAGTACATCAGAATTTAAAGTCTTTTGAAATTGATGTCTATTAGGAAGCAAGAGAATATTTAATCAAATGTCACCTTTCAGAGCGGAAGATTTAAATAAAGAATTATGAAGGTTTTAAAGAGAAATTGCTTCCCCCTCTGTGATGATATGCACCGAGCTGTCTTTGAAGCGTGGTTAGATCTTGATAAACTATTTTTATGATGGTTATGAATCGGGGAGATGAATGACTGATAAAAAAGGTGAAACTCTTTAACAACTGATTATAGAAAACAATTACTCCTTGGAACCAAAGTGCAGTCTTACTTAGCAGCTTTCATTTAAGAAGTTCAAGTAAAAAGTGGTGCATTTTCTGATATTACTGACACTTAATAGACAAAAGATTGATTAAAATGCAATTTTGGATACATGTAATGTTGCTGGTATCAGGCCCTTGTTGATTGTTCCATTTTTCATTGTTTTTATTTTCAGCATTTACTTGCCATTCCATTTTTCAACTGACATGTTAAACAGTTTATATAAGACATTCTCTGATATTCGGATGTAAAGATTTGTGGTAAAAAATATACTAGTAATACTTCCAGTTCCAAAAATGAAAGAGATATCTTCACATTATATAAATTGAAAAAAAAAATACTGTATGAAGATAGAATTATCTATCATTTGCCTCAAGTACAATGAAGTAGACTTATAGGAAAATAGAACAATCAAGTTAAATTTTTTTAGAATCTTCCCTAAAACAATATAATTACTTCTTCAGTTTTAAATATATTTATTTAGCAACAGCTGAGAATGTTACTAGCAGTTAGCAGCAGATGCTGCAAGTGTAAGAAGGTTACAATGATTATCACTGTAATTTATTTGTTAAATACAAATTTAGAACTTATATTTATGTTTCATTACAGGTTACACTTTTTTGTGAGATAGATCTTTGTGATAAATGAAGGCAGACTTTTTACTGGCTCAGAAATGCTTTCCAGGCTGTTAAAAATGTACCTTATTTTATTAGAAGTTGTAAGACTCTTTTTTGCTTTGTGATTATAGACCAGTATATGTTACTGAAAAAAAACTAAGGAAACTTGATTGAATGCTAATCCCCCTTTTCTGTACTCTCAATGTATGTACAATCAGAAATCAGTAATTGATTTCAAGAGAAGAGAATGGGCATGATTATAGAGCTTTGATCACGTTGTGGAACAAAGAGGTGAAATTGACAAATAGCCATTCAAACACCTTGGGTGCAATTCATCAGAGGTGATTGATGGAGGCTAAACTATAGTTAGATCATACCAATGATAATTCTGATCTGTGTCCTTATCTTCCAAACACCTTATCCTGTGAGATAAAGCACGATGATAACTCGGATGGCCCCAGAGTGGTCTCCCAGAATGCTCTGTCATTTTGTCTGGTAACTAGATAAGGTTTATGTTTTTAGGAGGATTAAAATGGTAAATTTATATGGCCTCCTCAGAAAAAACTCCTGATCATAAGAGTACATCTCAAGGGGAAAAAGTAGAAATGCTTTATATTTCAAAAGCAGAAAGGTAGAGAATGTTTTAAACTGAGAGATAACTGTAGTGTTTGATGAAATGATTATAAATTGGACTGACGTTATCTATTAATTGAGTGAAATGATACCCTAGATAATTGGATTTCTTAATGAATTTATTTGTCTGGTTATTTTCTTCCAATGAAAATGCAATTACCTAGTCTGAGGCTCAAGCCATTATAAAGGTAACAGATACAAATCTGTAAGACATAGTTGTCCGATGGTCACACAAATGCTTAGTAAATGTAGTCTAATGGTTTGAGATGTCAAATGGTGGTGGAAGGGGGAGATAGGGTTAGTCCTCATACAGTATTCCACTAGTAGGGCTAACTTCTCAAGATTTTCTGTTAAGTGATGCAATATATTTGCTTTCATCTCTGTTTATTTAAAACCTGACCATAAGAATATGGCTAGGCAGCAAAATTATGCTTTTATACTTGAGTATACATAAACAGGGATCTGGCGAGTCAGACCATTGTACGTTTGCAACTGCATTTGAACCTGTCAAACTATCAGGGTTTTGAGGAAACCGTGAAACTCAGGATGTAGTCTCATTGTTCTCTGGAGCCCTTACAAATATATATTAAAACATGGATTTGGCAAAGCAAAAAGGGTAAGGGCATTGGTTCGTTGGAGAAGTAGACTTTTTACAAGTTCTGGATCCTTTAATCAAACCTGCCGTGTGACCAAGGATTTGTTTGACCAATCCTGTCCTGAGTCACACGGCTTTGACATTGACATCTCTGACCAGTTTATCCATTGTCAGGCCCGAGATTACAGGCAGACAAGAATGCATAGAAACAAATTATCTCTGTTAATGCAGACCTGTTTGCCAAATCAATGGAGTATTGGATTAACCATAATGGATAAGCAGACAAAATTAACACTTTCTAGCTGTCAATAGAAGCAAATAGATTTATATTAGCTCATTTCAATTTAATGCTAAATCAATAGCCCTTTTCTTGTAAATGCCAGGCACTGGTCAGAATGACTAGCTGCCTACATGATGATTACTGTCATTAAGATGTATAAGGTTATGGCAGACAGTTAGAGATGAAGTTTCTCCCAGTTATCAGTAGATTTATTAATCTGTCCATCACTTCCCAGAACCTGGATCCTTCCTGAAGCCTAATGTTACACTGAGAATTTTGTTCCATTTAAGTGTATTTCCCTTCCCCCCAAACCAGTTACCGCTGATTCATGGACACTTCTCTATCCCACTGACAAATTGTCACTTCACCAGACATGAAAATGAAATCTGATTCATCAGCCATCAAGTCAATGAGCATCTTTTAAGTGAAGAAAAAAATTGGCTACAATTTACAATTTTTACAAAAATAAAGAAAAAAACAGATTCAAAATCTGTGAATTCATAAAAATTTGAAATTTGATGAAAAAATATGACTGACTTAGAAGTACTCTGTCCTATAGCTTTCTGTCAATTACTGTTGCAGAGTCCTAGTCACTGTCTCTATGAAGGAAACCCAACAGTAGTTGACAGGTCTAAACAATGAAGACAAATGATCGTACTATTGATGACCTCCACAGTTCTTAGATTCTTAATGACCAAGTATCGCTAATTTACCAATCAGTAAAATCTTCCAGCAGTGACAGATAACAGGAAAACCTTGTCCCCATGACCTAGCAAGGATTCACTTAATTGAAAAACTTTAACATGCATGATTCACTGTTTTACAGGTCTAGAAGAGTTCAAGATGGATTCATTTGAGCCTCGATTAATTCCAAATTTTCCAGTTGTCATTCCCATGCACACCCGATTTGTTGTCAAAGTGTTTCCACCAGGGGGCAGACCAAAACCCACTCTCGAGTAAGTAATCAGGAAATACAAAAAAGTTTAAATTATATCTCAAATCAAACATTCATCAAGGTCTCAGTTATGATTGAAATTGTAAAATCATCGCTGTCATTGTAGCTGAACACAAGCAGTTCCATCCATTTCTGGTGTCCCAATAAAACAATAAATCACAGTGAAAACAATTCACCGATACAAATATATGAATTCAGGTTGCAATGAAGCAAAAATATGTACCCTAACTAGTTCTGTCAAATACATTTTATAACCAGGATCTTGTGGTCAGGAGAGTCAGGTTTTACTGTAACTTATAAGCAAACAACCACAGCCGTCTCAGCTGTAACACTGTCAGCTGTTTAAATTGCATAACTGACAATATTTGGATTGTCCTCTTCACAAGTTTGTGAAAACATTTTATAATCAATTTTAATTAAAATTTTCATGACAATAAAACACAGAAACTCCATATTCTCCTTAACAACACTGCAGCCTGTCTTTTATAACAAGGAGATCTAATTTAAACACAAATCCATTTGCTTTGTTCTTCAAGAGGCTTGTGATAAATTTGATTTGAAATTGGATGATAATCCCTATATAGATGAAATTAATAACCTTCTCAGACAATATTGCAAAATATGAAACTAATGCAGCATCTTTTATTCCAGAATTTATTGTGTGATTAGGGGCATTATATCATTTCTAAGTCTTGTCATTCCTAGGTCTGGAAACAAATTTTACTATTTATGTCATAGAAACTGAAATTGAATCAAATCTTCTAGATATCTTTTTTCCCTGTCATAACATATCACTTTGTTTATTTGTTTTCTACAGATTGCTCTCGTAAGAAAACATTTATAAGATTTTTCTGTTTGCTTTAAGAATGATCTTAAGCTCAGATTTGTTGATAGAGGGTGAAAAAATTACGAAGGAAATATAATTATAACTATTTGACGTATATAAATTTTAGATCACTTTTGAGATGGTTTATTTAGTTTGAGAATGTCAGTTTTACGGAAACTGCCAATAAAAGAACAGTATCATACATTGCATCTTATTGGAGCAGACATCTTACTAGAAGCAAATTTAGAGTCTGTTAACAGATTTCCTTATACAAGGAAGACAAAACAAAGAAGATGAATATTGTCAGATTGTAATGATATGAGCAGTAATTCAGATCAAGGCCACAACAGTATTGGGTTTTACATGTAGGTTATCGCAGTAGCAAGATTGCTACAAGGTTATGTGTAACATGCACTCGAACATTCCAAAAATGTACTCCATAAAATTCTCTTCTTCCCCTTAACATCACATAAAACAGAGGAGATGAGAGTATATGAATGGGTTTATTGATCTGTGAACACCCTAATAACTGTCAAAAGAACACAGCAAAAACTGTGCATCTGTGATTAGTGGCGGCTTGGTCACTCCAGTATCTAGCATTGTTTCCCTCTCTCCTGGTCTGTACAAAAAAATTTACAAATCTCTGTCGATTCAATACAAATTAGACTAGCAAAGTTCATATTAACACACCTGACTTAATAAGATCGGAAAACACTATCTATCTTTTTGATCATCTACTGATGGTGGAATCATCATTTTGGATGCTTTCTAAGAAAGAACCACACATTTTACTTATAAAATTTGCGTTAATGATCAATTATTACGGTCAATTGAATAGCAAACACATTTCAGATGAGATTTTTCTCAGTATTTTCCCAATTAATTGATTTCTGCTAGGTTCATTTACTGGTATATTTCTTTGCAATCAGTCATTTTAAAAGAAATATCTTGATACCCAATTCCTGATTTCACCTGTGCCGTCTTGGTGCATATTTTTGTATAGAATTCCAGTTTGGGATTATGTATCTGAGTTCACTTCAAAGACAGAGATTGCCTTTCTGTTTATTTAGTTTCATTTTGAAAATGTTACAACAGATCTGTGTAGTGTCTCTTTGTATATCTTAACTATCTCTTTCATTTGTAACAAGCAGAGAGTATTTCAAAAAAAGCTCAGCAGTCAGTAATGTCAAGATATTTTGACATGAAACCTTTATCATTCACTTCAAAAACCTTTCTTCCTTCAGCTTAGGTTTTGGATATAGGTCTGTCATCACTAGGGCTTCTGCATCGAGCTTATATCTCTTTAGTTCCTGTTTTTCCCCTTTAAACTTCACTACAACTTTGATGGAAAACATGGCCCCTAGTGACTTGTAGTAGGAAGCAACCTTTGTATTTCCTGTCTTTAAAAAAAAAAATTCTATAGCCATGCCTGCATTATACTCGGATGAACTTTTCAGGTGGTTGAGGGAAATTTTGGTAGTGTAGGTAGAAAAGCTGGAAATAAGTCAAGTGGCAAAATTATAGGCAGCAATATGCCAGATAGCCAACTCAATTTTCATGTCTTCCTCAAAATTACTGTTGCCACTTGGATCAAATTAAATCAATGAAGCAAAATTTGCTAAATTAGTGTCTTAGCAAAAAGGATTAGTTTTAAAAGATAGATGTAGTGGGAAAACATCTTGGTAGTTCTCAATGAAGAGTAAATTAGATTAAATTTGATCAGGTTAGTTTTAACCTAAGGATCATGTACTGTATGTAGAATTGATCACAACCACTCATCTTTACTTGTAGATGGCGGGATAGAAGTGACCTTATCATTGGGACAAGCGGCAACATTCATGTCAACGAAACCGAACTCATCTTTGAGAGACCACAAGAGATGGACTCGGGCAATTACACTGCCATTATTAAAAACATTGCTGGTAGAAATCAACAGAAAGTTTGGATTATTGTTTCAGGTAATTCAGAGGAAATACTTTTTAAGCAAAGATCATTACGAAACATATTACACTTTTCAAGTATAGTTTTGATAACAAAATTTGTACTTGAATGAAAAAGTTAACATAAACTGTACAGATTAACAAGATTAAAACATGACAGCTGGATGATATTGCCAATTCCAGATCATCTGTTGGTGCTGTATTTTAAAAAAATCAGTGTTCCAGAGACAAAAACATAGTGTAGATTAACATTTGGGAGTCTCAAACTTTAACTCAATGTAGGTTAGTTTTATAGAGCATCTGGTGTTTTCAGGAGGAATTCTTCAAATCTTCTATGGATTCAAAAACAAAAATCAGGAAAGAATACACCTGTCACCGAGGTGATGTAATTCAAAATGAGGCAAATTTACTGTGTAACTTGTAAGGCGTAAAGTACCAAAATTATGGTAATAGAATAAAACCACATGCTAAATATCTTACAAACAAAAAGTAAATTTAGTTTTAATTACGTAGCAGGTTAAGAAAAATAATGGCATTAATCAAAACCAGGTTTACCTAGTAAATAAACATTAAATTGCATGTAAATGATTGAAATATATCATCTTGAAGCAATAAGTTCATGGATTAAAAAAAAACACAACTCTAAACACTGAGCTATAAATACCGGTACATGTTGAATTATGTGCAAAAATTTGTTCATCATACATGTTTGTAAAAAAAAAAAATAGATTTTTTTAGAGACGGGGGGTCCATTTTCAGTATTTAAGAGTGAAAAAATAAGCTGCTTTAGTGATTGCGGAGTTATGTGTGTTATATATTTTAATCTGACTTCAAAGAAACAACCAGTAGTATTTTTATATTTGTATCCTCTTTCTTTCTGTGAAATATTTGTCAGTTGATAACCTGTTTCACACTCTTATGACAATTGTTGGCAAACATTAGCATGCTGCATCTATTGTTAAAAATATCCTTCAAAAAAAGCTTCACTGTTATTCAGAGAATTTTTTGAGAAGACTCTTGCAGTTTATAAACAGAACAACCATACATAAGATTTTTCTTTAATATAGTGCCCCCTACCATAAGAAGGCCGCCATTAAACATGGCGGTTGAGGAGGACAGCAGTGCTATGTTGAGTTGTCAGGTGTCAGGGACTCCATACCCCGTCACTACCGTCATCTGGGAGAAAGATGGGAACCTCATCAGAATGGTCAGTACTCATATTGAGGTTATAACAACAAATGATTCAAGTGTCTTACACAAAATTTAGAAAGCAACATAATACAAGTGTTACTATTAAATAAATTATTGTAAAGTATGCACTTTATTCTTTAATGTAACTAATCTTAGGACTCTGACAGGTGTTTGGTATAAAAGATGTACATGTATTTTTTTTTTATTTTGAAGATTTAGTTTAGAAGTGTAATAAGTATATAGCATTTATTAATCTGTTTGGCAGTGTAAAAATTTACACCAAAAATTTCTTTGCAAAAAAGGTTGAAAACCCTAATTCTCATACAGTTTGTAAAAGACTAAGCATAATCTATCGGAACTATTTAAGTTTCCCTCCAGCCTTCTAAGGACCTTTCTGTGGTTTTCAATATCTCATATAAAATTCCAGTAATCGGCTTCAGAAGATAAAAAAAAATGTCCTTACCTTTAATTTTAAGGATTTTATAAAAGATTAAAGACCCCGTGATGTGTAAGTGCTTTCAAGAGATGAACATGATTAAAATAGATTTGAATAATATATAAAGCTGCTAATTTACACCATTCTTGAAGGGTTCCACAAGACATATCATAGACCTGAAGCAAGGTACCCTGACAATAAAGCAGACAGTGATGGCAGATGCAGGAACATACAAATGTGTGGCCAACACAACGGGACAGAGCTTAGTGGAATCCCAGGGGGCATACCTCCACGTCAAAAGTAGGTCAACTGACAGGTGATGAAGGGAGATTAGCAGGGCTTTAAGTGACCATACTGTATCCGATGAGCAGAAAAAAACATTGTTAAGACTTTTGCACCTAGATAACTTTTTTAATCTCTGAAATATATGGCTCAAAAGAATGTGTGCTTGTCAGAAAAGATATATTTGTAAAATTACAAAGTGGAAAATGGTTGAAGGTCTTTGTTTTAAAAATACATCATTTTATCTTCATTTTAGAAGATTAACATAAGAATACTGAAAATTTTGACCAAGCAGTGTTTTGCATGTTTCAAATATTTGCTTGATACAAGTACTACAATCAAGTTTGCTTGCAGGAAAATCATAAAATTAAAAACATGATTTTTTTTACCAGAGAAATTGAAATTTCATCCTCCTCCTAAAGATACCTACATTGAGCTATCCCATGATGCCTCAGTAACGTGCAAGGCTGAGGGAGATGGACCTGTTCGTATCGTGTGGCGGAGATCCACTCCAACAGATACAGACCCTCACTTCACTTCTATGGGGGGCACCATGAATTTCTTCAAGGTTCAAAGGTCAGATGAGGGACTATACACTTGTACTGCTTATAATGATAAGCAAGGCACCATTAATACTACAGTCTTCATAGATGTTGTTGGTAAGTTTGAGTTTGATTTTGTACTCAGAAAAAATATTTAATACTTTTATGATAATTATTTTTTTGAAGAGGGGGAGGTGAATTGCATAGTATGGTTGGATTTTGCAGAGAGACCCAGATTTCAAGTAAGGCCAAAGAACATGACAATCTATGAAGGACATCCAGCAATGATGCACTGTGTAGCTATTGGTGACCCCAAACCAGAAATCCATTGGGACAAAAATTACTTCCAAGACATTGACAGTAAAAGGATTACGGTATTGGCTTCTTATTAAGGATCAAACAAACTTATTTTCATGTTCATGCATAGTATGAATATTTACAACAATTGATAAAAACATATCAGCAAAAGCACAGTGTTGAATTAACAATACCTCCCTGTAAAGGGAAACATACTCATAGCATAAATTGCATCGTAGGCACTTGATTGAAATTTAAATTTAAAAAGTTTTAAACATGATTACATTGTTTATTTTTGCAGCTTTTTCCTAATGGCACCTTGTTTTTCTCCAAAGTTTACATGGAGGACCAGGGCAGATATGGATGTAAAGCTTCCAACGTGGCAGGAAAAGTCCGCATAGAGGCCTTTCTTACTGTCTCAAGTAAATATATAGCCATGTGTTTAAAATAATTTGTTGTTTTCATGGTAGGAAGAGACCCACAAATTCATGTCCTCCATGAAATGTAAAATCCTATATGCAACAGTTTCATGTTTCCTCTTCAACTCCAAATCATTTCCCCCAGAACTAATATTTTAACAGATTTAATTCATTTTTTGTTGTTATCAAGATAAAACTAATTTACACAATTACCTTTTTTTCAGCCTCCATTGAGTACACAATTGGTAAATCTAATGACGATGGAGGATCTGACATGATGAAAACTATTATCATTGTTGTGTGTAGTGCAGGGGCATATTTAGCTTTGGTCGTAGCTCTGACAGCCTACTGTAGCTATAGACTTCTTATGCAGAGGAGGAATAGGAAAGCCACATGTAAGTCACATTGTGTTACCATTACTACCAATAGTCTACAAGTCTATAAATTTTTGGTTAATGGTATATTTTTTTTTTTGCATGAGAAAATCTTTCTAAAGAATAATAGAAATTCAAATTGTCTTTATTATGTTCCCCAAACGGAGTTTGGGAACATATTGTTTTTACTCGGTTTCTTATTAAGGTCTTCCGTCTTCACGGAAGACCTTATAGTGATTCTATTGTTTCTTATTATTATTATTATTATTCTTTTTTTTTTAGACAAAATTTTGTGCAGGCGATTTCTCGTAAACTATTCGGTGGATTTCAATGAAAATTTTAGGAATTATAGGTCATTATATGAATTTTATATAAAATTCCGTTTGTTGGGAAATTCACTACCAGTGCCAAGTTATGGGCAATTTCCTGATTTTAAAATGCAATTTTGTCTTCGAATGTTCTCGAAAACGGCTCAAGATATTAACTGGAGACTTCTTAGAGATGATAGACCATGAGTTATAGATGTGCAATTTTGCCTTCGTTTGCGTCGTCAGTACTTCCGGTTGCTACAGGAAGTGAATTTAAAATGTGCACTTTTTCAACTTTTTTTGTTTTTCAATATTTTTCTTTGATATAATTAATGGTAATTAAGATCCTACTGGAAAAGCCAAATATATAATTTATTTAAGAATTGATCAATCCACAAACTAGATATTCGCATTTAAAAATCTGAAGCGTGTCCAAGATGGCGGCGGTCTCCGTAAACTCCGCCATTAAGCAAGTCGGGTTCTACAAGGTCAGCTGAGCGTTTAGATGAACGAAACTTCTACCAAAAAGATTTATGAAATGTAAAGGATTCTTTAGATTGCTACATCGCAATTACCTTGCATTGAGTATAGTTTTAATATGAGGTTTCCTCAAACTTCTATTGAAATTGCTTTTGTCTGCATCTCATAGTAGAATACAACATGACTACAAGTGGAAATACGATGACTACAGTCTTTTGTTTTGCACCAGGGAAAACTTATCCTAAACCATGGTTATAAGTAATAGCTTTTCAAGAAACTTGCCTGACTTAATATTCACTATGTTTTGAAGTATTACTTGACTTCTGTTTATTTTACCTCGCACGCTTATGACATATTAAATGAATAGAAAAGACAAAAATAAGAAAATCATTTTTTTTAAAAGATTGTTTATTAAAGGTTATATTAATATTCTTGTAATAAATGCAAGTTATTGAACATGAAGAGTATCAGATTCCTTGACCGTCGGGGGCGAGTGATTTTTTTTTCAGTGAAACATTCCAGTCTTTTCATGAACGTGTAACTCATCTCCACTTTGGGGGTAAACAGAATACAAAATTCGTGGAAAATCTTACCGAATTCACAGCTTTAGTGTTACTTGGCCGTATACGATATTATATTTGTATAATGTGATAAATATACTTTCTTACGCTCGAAATTCCGATTATAAGAACATACATTTCTAATTTTCATTGAAGCTATCAGATCCATTAAATAGATCAAACATTTCAAAGGAATGGCGTGAACAACTACTTGTGACGTATGGCACGAAATAATGTATCATGGCCGACTTCAGTAGTAGACAAATGGCGACAATAGTGCAGAAATATATAACATTGGCATGCTTGTATATGGTTTTGCATGGAATAAAAAGTTGAATACATATCGAATAAAGGAAAGAAAACAGTATCATCTGTTCATCACTAATAGATTATCTATCCTAAAAATTACTGTTACAACTCAAGTTACAAATTCCGATGTGATCATCTTGAGCAAGTTTGGCGCGAAGATGTACTCGTGGCGTTTAACGCAAAACTATGAATAGTGACCGCCTTTCATTATTCTAAGACAGATGAATTGTTTCAGAAGTAATATACAAGTAGATTTAGAGATGTGGTCCCAATAGCGTCACAGTAAGCGCTTTGTGTTTCCATGCTGGCGACCCGGGTTCAATCTTTTTTGTTTCCATAAAAAGTTTTATCACTTTTTCAGCTTGATTTTGCGGGGTTTTTTTTCAGAATGGGACGGAAGACCTCTCGTTGCTCGCAACGAGTTTCTTTTCTAGTTATTATGTTCCCCAAACGAAGTTGGGGAACATATTGTTTTTACTCTGTTTTTTATTATTATTATTTTTCTTCTTCTTCCTGGGTACTTTTTTGTCCGCGAGTGATCTTGTAAACTGTTCATCCGAAGTAGGTAAAACCTTTTTAGGGTTAGTAGACATGTTATGTAGATTTGCGGAATCAAGGTCATTTTCCGCGCACGTGCTTGCAAGAGCGTGCACGTGCAACACGTGAAATGACCAGTATAATAGATATAGCCGTAACTTTTCTATTTTTTGACTATATGCTTTGAAACTCATAATATAAGTATATATTAGTTGTATATGCATAATGACATGTTCCTCGCGCACGTGCTTGCAAGAGCGCGCACGTGCAACGCGTGAAATGACAAATATAATAGATACAGCTGCAACTTTTCTATTTCTTGATGAAATACTTTGAAACTCATAATATAAGGATATATTAGTAGTATAGACATGATGACATGGTCAAAATAGCAAGATCTCAAGCGCATGCACGTGCGCTTCACGCTGATTGGCTGAAACTAAAGTCTCAATATTTTTCATGTTTCTTGTCATAATCTTTTGAAATTTTGAACAAAGTCTTAAATTATGAAGATCTACAGCATGATATATAAAAATTTTCATGAAAGCATGCGCATGCGTGCGTGCTGCAATCTGATTGGCTGAAACTTTAAACGGCTATATCTCCTTTGTTTTTGGACGAAATGCTTTGAAATTTAAAACATAGTCATGCAGTAGGATATCCTACAATACGATATAGAAAGAAAATCATGAAATCACGCGCATGCACGTGTGCTGCAATTTGATTGGCTGAAACTTTAAATGGCTATATTTATTTTGTTTTTTGACGAAATGTTTGGAATTTTAAATATAGTCATTCATTAAGATATCCTTCAATACGTGTAAGATAAAAAATTCTTGAAATCATGCGCATGCATGTGTGCTGCAATCTGATTGGCTGAAACTTCAAATGGCTATAACTCCCTTGTTTTTTAACCAAACAGGATGGGATTTAGAACATAGATAAATATAAGGGACTCCTACAAGAAGGTGTATTCATCATGCACTTGCTTGCACGTGCGTGCACGTGAAATGAGTAAAATTATAACACTTGAATGAGTGTATTTTTTAATACTTTTGGATAACATCTTTGATATCAAGTATATTAAAATATATAGATATTGTAGACAAGATAATATGGCCGTTGCGTATATGAACACGCGTACAATGCTTAAATTTAAATATATTTTGTATTCTTCTGGGAAGACCTTGATAAGTTTAAATTCCATTAAGTATTTCTTATTTAATAGAGATTACAGGGAATATGGCACCAAAAGGGAGTTGGGGAGCGTTTGGGGAACATCTGTAACGGTCCCCGTTACAATTAGCACTAGTTATTATTATTATTATTCTTTTTTTTCTTCTTTGTTCTCCGGTACTTTTTTTGTCCGCGAGTGTTCTCAGAAACTGTTCACCCAACTAAGTTAAAACCTTTTTAGGGTTAATAGGTGTCAAGTGTAGGTGTGCACAACGAAGGTCATTTTGCGCGCATACGCATGCACGTGCGTGCGCGTGAAATGAGTTAAATGACTGATATACTTATTATAGCCATAACTTTTACATTTTTTATTGAAATGCTTTGAAACTCATTCTATAAGGATATATTAATAGTCTAGATATTATGACATGGTCAAATTAGCACGAACTCACGTGCATGCACGTGCGCTTCCCTCTGATTGGCTGAAACAAAGATTTCAATATCTCTTTTGTTTATTGATGAAATGCTTTGAAATTTTAAACATAGTCATGCATTAGGATATACTACAATATAATATATAGCAGGTATCATGAAAACAGGCGCATGCACGTGCGCTGCAATCTGATTGGCTTAAACTTTAAAAGGGTATAACTCCTTTGATTTTCAACCAAACAGGATGGGATTTAGAACATAGATAGACATAGTGGATTCCTACAAAAAGGTAAGGTCATCATGCACATGCATGCACGTGAGATGGGTAAAATCAAAAATACACTTGATGAAGCGTATTTTTTAATACTTTTGGATTAAATGCTTTATTATCTTATCATATTAATGTATATAGATAGTGTAGACAAGAGAATATGGTCATTACGCACATGCATTTACATGTGCACGCGTGCAAATGCTAAAATTTGAATATACTCAGTATACTTCAGGGAAACGTTGTTAAAGTGTAAAATGCATAGAGTTTGTCGTTTTTAATGAAGCTTAAAGGGAGTATGGCACCAAAAGGGAGTTGGGGAGCGTTTGGGGAACATCTGTAACGGTTCCCGTTACAATTAGCCCTAGTTTGATTTATTGTTGTAAAAAACATGGTGCCACATGAGGCCTTATTACAACGTTTTAACATATTGTCATACATTGAATCTTTAGTTTGTATGCTGAAAAAAATGTTTAATATTTCATTTCTGCTTCTTCACAGCCAAGACAGAAAATGGCCACATCTCAACGGAGCAGCATGAATTACTGGTCAAAGAGCGAGACAGCGAGTCAAGAAACCAGTGTCGTAGCGATAGTGACAATCGATCGCATGCCTCAGGACTCAGTTCTCACCCCTCCCAATCCTCATCCTCCTACACTCGGTCACGGCGGGGGAGTCTGGATAGGCTGGTCTACCCAAGACAGAAACTGTCCTCATTTGGCATGCTAGGTGAATACTAATTATACCCCCCGCAAACAAAGTTTGGGGGGGTATATAGGAATCACCTTGTCCGTCTGTCTGTCCGTCCGTCTGTCCGTCTGTCTGTGCAATCGTGTCCGGTCCATATCTTTCTTACAGAGGGACATTAGAATCTACTACTCCACAGTAAGATTGCTCATGACCTAAGGGTGTGTCATGACCTTGACCCAAGGTCATTTGGGGAAGTTCAAGGTCACTGGAAGAAAAATTTCATAATTCGTGTCCGGTCCATATCTTTCTTATGGATAAACTTGGTAGGTTCTCATTTCACACAAAGATTGCCCATGACCCAAGGGTGTGTCATGACCTTGACCCAAGGTCATTTGAGGAAGTTCAAGGTCACTGGAAGAAAAATTTCATAATTCGTGTCCGGTCCATATCTTTCTTATGGATAAACTTGGTAGGTTCTCATTTCACACAAAGATTGCCCATGACCCAAGGGTGTGTCATGACCTTGGCCCAAGGTCATTTGAGGAAGTTCAAGGTCACTGGAAGAAAAATTTCATAATTTGTGTCCGGTCCATATCTTTCTTATGGATAAACTTGGTAGGTTCTCATTTCACACAAAGATTGCCCATGACCGAAGGGTGTGTCATGACCTTGACCCAAGGTCATTTGGGGAAGTTCAAGGTCACTGGAAGAAAAATTTCATAATTCGTGTCCGGTCCATATCTTTCTTATGGATAAACTTGGTAGGTTTTCATTTCACACTAAGATTGCCCATGACCGAAGGGTGTGTCATGACCTTGACCCAAGGTCATTTGGGGAAGTTCAAGGTCACTGGTAGAAAAATTTCATAATTCGTGTCCGGTCCATATCTTTCTTATGGATAAACTTGGTAGGTTCTCATTTCACACAAAGATTGCCCATGACCCAAGGGTGTGTCATGACCTTGACCCAAGGTCATTTGGGGAAGTTCAAGGTCCCTGGAAGAAAAATTTCATAATTCGTGTTTGATACATATCTTTATTATGGAAAAACCTACTTCTGAAAAACCCAGCAGGGGGTATTTTGTCCCGTTTGGACAGTTCTAGTTAGTTTTCATTTTAATTAACCAGAACGTTATCAAGAATTCAAAAAAATGTTGTTGTTTTATCACATATTTTAAGTAGATGTACAAATATTATCCAATACCTATGCTTCTATGATGATAATACATTTCTCTAAATACATTTTAATAATGAAAACTTTATTAACCTGTTATATTATGGATTTATTAATAAAATTCGCTGCAATATTAATAAAAGGAAATAGGATTTTTTCATGTAGAGTTATCTCTCTTTGCATAGGATACATTTTTTTGTATAGCAGGACTTTTTCAACATATTGCTGATGGCCATGTTGATTTGATAAATTCATGATATACAAAGCCCACATACCAAGTAATTTGAGTCTTCTGTTTTCCTACTTGTACAGGTAATGGTGTGTATGGTGATGTATTTCTGGCGAAGGCTTGTGAGATCAGGGACATAGAACCTGAGACGTTAGTGGTGGTCAAGTCTTTGTTGGTGAAGGATGAGCACCTGTTCTTTGAGTACCGACAGGAAATGGAAATGTACTCTAAACTGGACCACCCCTTCATCATCAAGCTGCTGGGGGTGTGTCGAGAGATTGAGCCTCATTTCATGATCCTGGAGTATTGTGACTGGGTAAGAAATGTCTGTTTCAATGATATTTTTTTTAATTTATATGATAATTTACTACGGTATGAGGAAGTATATTTATGCATGGACCATATTTACACAACCAGTATATGCAAGTGCCACTGTTCTTTGAATAACATATAAACACAAGAACCTGTTTTTCTCTTCTCCAGAAACAATAGATTTCACCTGATTATCATGATTAAAATGGATATTTTTATTTTTCCAGGGGGATTTGAAACAGTTCTTACTGGCCACAAGGGGTCATATTAATGGCCGTCCATTTCCGTCACGAATTCCGCCATTGAGCCTCGCTCAGAAGCTGACAATGTATAACCAGATAGCCTTAGGCATGGAACATTTATCTAATCATAGATTTATTCACAAAGACCTAGCAGCCAGAAATATTTTATTAACCTCCAGAATGGAGCTCAAAATATCTTCCCTCTCCATGTGTCGAGATGTGTATGCAGGGGAGTACTTTTTTTATAACCAGAGTCTTCTCCCTTTGAGATGGACGGCACCAGAAGTGTTACTTAGGAATGAGTATTCCACAAAGAGTGACGTTTGGGCGTACGGTGTGTTCATGTGGGAGGTGTTCAGTCTTGGGGAGCTGCCCTACCCCACACTTTCTGATGAAGAAGTTATTAGAAAACTCAAAATCTGTGATATTCAACTGCCAATGACAGAACAAATTCCATATGAACTGAGAGATATTATTAAGAAATGTATGTCAGACAATCCGCGAGATCGACCGGCCTTCAGTGAGTTGTGTTTACATCTCAGTGAGATGATGACTAAGTGTCAGACGGTTAGTCTACCAACATCTATCTCCCCCCTCCCTGTGTAGAGTGGGGGTACACGTACAAATTGTTATATGCTTTTGTACATGAACATTTTATGATGTGCCTGTGAATGAAAGATGAGAGTGCATGGTGAGAGGGCCCAGTCTTTATTAATTGTTGATTAAGCAGTTAGCTTCTAAAGTATATTATTGTATTTGCAATCAGCTCAAATGTTAAGAAATCCATTTCTTTACACAGAAAAGTTGTTACTTAATCAGTATTTATTCACTAGATATTGCAGGATTTAAAAAAAATTATTGCTGCAAGTGAATGTTGATCACATTGACTGACATTTCAGTACATAACATAGTACAGTATTATAAATACATGTATAATTCAGCATTTGTTTGATGTTGTTGGATCTTTGTATGTGTGATCTGTTTGAGAGTATGTGATAGACTAGGCTTATTGCTGGTCCAGAGGGTAAACACTATAATATAGAGTTTTGTGTGTCTGTTTGTTTCATGTTTTGATAGATTCTTCTTCACTGAAGTCATTCAGTCTAAATAAAATTGACTAGGTAAATGTCAGATAATGAACTTGTATGCTTATAGAACATTTGAAGTACATACATGCATTACAAAATTCATAATGTATCTGCAGCTGCTTGTGTGTATTTGCTGTTGAATTTAGTGCTTGTTGATGCTAAGTTGTGTTCCACTTTGTCTAAAATAAGAATTCTCCTCATTAGTTAAAAAAAATTGTGTACAGGTTGTTTGTTTTTTTTTTTGTTTTGTGTCTGTGCATACACATTACCTTCTAAAAAATTCAAACTGCACAATGTGCAAAAATGCCCTTTAGAAGTCTCATCAAAAGATATTGTCAGTAAATTAATTTAAATGTGCATATACAATATTGTGTATTTTTCAGCATATTTCTAGGGTTATATATACGAGGGGTGTTAGAAAAGTTCGCGGACAAGTTCTATTGTGAGCGCGCTATTTCCACGAAACCGGTTAAATTTTCCGGATAAAATCTTAACCTAGTTTCCAATAAATATACAAAAATATGGTGCCCTCCAGTGATCATTGAAAAATATACAGCATTTTTATATTGATAAAACTTGCTTCACGGAGCATGCTACATTTTGGCACGTTTACATCACAAAGACTTTTCATTAAAATTAAAAATTGCACATTTGTAGCGCAAAGAGATTTATTATATTTTACCTGTCGCTAAAGTATTCATGAAATATCACTGGGAGAAATTTTGATTAAAATTGGAGGGTATATGGTTGTTTTATAGCCATTTATAAATGATCAACGCGTAAAAACACAGCCAAAAATCGGAACGTCATCAAGCGTCATGGAGCACTGCACTACGTAAAAATTATGCGTGCAGACAGGAAAATGTCTAAAAAGATATTAAAATGTTCAAGATGCTGCCAGGAATTTCCTACACATAAAAAGGACAAAGTTTTCAAGTGGTTGTAGCCTTATAAGAATGTAAGGGTTAACATTTTTAATGATTAACTCCACCGATACTTCAAAACCCCCTTATCGTTGTGCCTCTGTGGTTTTGCATAGCTTCTATTCTGATCGATTAACTGTATAGATTATTTTAAAAATCTCAATAATATCCGAATCAGTACAATCCGAATCAGTACAATCCGAATCAGTACAAAAGACATTATAGTAGAAAAGTAATGTAACTTGTCTTGATATAGATATTCAATTTTGAAGTAGAAAAAAAGAAAAGAAAAATCTGAAAAAATGTAAGATTTATAGAACTGGACAAAGCTTAACGGGATGAAATCTGGTTGTCACGTCGCCTTACGTCATGTGATTGCTCCGTGAATCCCATGACCTCGTAGTAAAAATCGTTGTAAATTTTCAAGATTGAAGTAAATGGACCTGGTTTTTTACATACTAATAAACAAAATGTAGGAATTTATTCAGACATAGTTCATACTTCACAGTACACAATGGATTTTCCGTTATTCAATGTGTCCGCGAACTTTTCTAACAACCCTCGTACAAGTGTCTGTGGACCATAAAACTGTTTGAGATTTGTTTTAAATATTACGTATCTGTAATTTATTTGTGTCAGATCTATGCAAATAGAAATAAATTACTATCTAAACACTTAATGATTTACTTGGTTTTTTTTAACAAGAATTATACACCATTAAAAGTGATGACAATTTTTTTTTAAGTATAATCACCAGTTTGGCGCAATAATAATCTGAAGGTTCAAATGAGCTTTTCTGATCATCTGTTGTCTGTTGTCAATCTATCATGTAATATTCATCAATTAATAATTTTTCATATTTTCGACTTCTTTCCTAAGTCCACTAGACCTTTTGCTACAAAGCATATCCTTTAAAGTGAAAGAGATTCATCTTTTTTAATGAAGGGCCACACCCTCTTTAAGGGGAGATAATCAATAAAATGGAAACGAGGCCAACTGCCTTAAAAATCGAGAATAGAAAACATGTATGCAAGCTTCCTTGATAAATGTATTTTTTTTAATCATATATGATCTCCAGACCGGTATAAAATAACATCAAGGTTTTAACATGGGGATTCCTAAGGGGGGAAAATACCAATTACAGATATATTTCATCAGCACAGCAAGGACATGCATGATTAGTGATCAAGGACATGCATGATTAGTGATTAAGGACATGCATGATTAGTGATATAAGAATTCTGAGGTAGTGTATCCCAAGTCCAAATGAATTATTCTATTTGTACAAATCAATTGCCCGTCCCCCGTAAGGGTTGGGCCACAAAAGATAAAAGTTTAACAAGAAAATGTAGGAAAAACCTTATGTAACATGCAGCCTTAATAGTGTTATTAATAGTCGCAAGCATCTTTATTTTGTAGATTCAAAAAGTTCAATTCATGACCAGGTCTTAATTAGGAGTAGTGGTGGCATAAATAAGGGATCGAAGATATCTAAATTAAAAAAAAAAATCTTTTTGTGAAGAACAGCAGGGCTGCAAATAAGATTTTTATTATCAATATATTTTTTTTTATTGATCACTGTTATCTTGTTTAAAAAAAATTAAGTAGAGGTCTGCAGCTCATTACCCTTATATTCCAAAAACTAGCACACGCATGGATATAGCATTATAGCTCTTTAAGCTGGAGTTGCCTCAGATGAAAAAATAAGCTTTATCAATTTAGGATTTTAATCTATCATTAGCTCACCTGAGCCGAAGGCTCAAGTGAGCTTTTCTGATCACATTTTGTCCCTCGTCCATCCATCTGTCCGTCTAGCTGTCAGGCTGTCTGTCCGTCCGTCCGTCTGAAAACTTTTCACATTTTCAACTTCTTCTCAAGAACCACTATATATATATAGGCTGCAATTTTGATCAAACTTGATACAAAGCATCCTTGGATGAAGGGGAATTTAAATTGTTAAAATGAATTAAGGGCCAAGTCCCCTCATAAGGGGAGATAATCAAGAAAAGGCAAAAATAGGGTGGGGTCATTAAAAAATCTTCTCAAGAACCACTGAGCCAGAAAAGCTAAAACTTATGTGGAAGCATCCTGGGGTAGTGTAGATTCTAAATTGTTCAAATCATGACCTCCGTGGGTAGGGTGGGGCCACAATCGGGTATCAAAGTTTTACATAAAAATAAATAGGAAAAATCTTCTCAAGAACCACTGGGCCAGAAAAGCTGAAACTTATGTGGAAGCATCCAGGGGTAGTGTAAATTAATTCTTAACCCTTACCAAAGTAAAATTATTGCAGCAATATTGCTGCTATATTGCGGCAACATTGCAGCAACACATTTTTGTCACCAGAAACAAGCTTTTTGGGTTAGTGCCACTAGCTGCAACACCGCTAGCTGCAACAACTTCTGGTGACATTCTGGCAATACTGCCAGAAAAAAACTTTCTGGCAGTATTGCAAGAATGTCACCAGAAGATCTAGGATTACCCATTTGGCATTTGTGAGCATGCTTAGTCATTTACTTCCTCTTTTTAAATAAAATGGAGGGAATTCAAAGGCAAGCATGTTTTGCTTCATTACTGAATGGTATCAAGTTAATTGGAGTTGTTAATTGTGTACAATAGGATTAGACATGATGACTAGTAAGACTGAATAATGTGGAATAGCCAGAAAAAAGAATTTCAGCAGTTTCCATAGCATGGCCTTTTGAAAGAATTATAGGAATTATAGGAATGTCTAACTCTGTTTTCATGGTATATATATCAGACTTGGTAAGTCAAAACCATATTCTTTTTTAGAAAACAATGATTTCATATATATATATATATATATATATATATATATATATATATATATATATATATATATATATATATATATATATGCTGGAAATTACAAACAAGCTATATTATACATTATACTGATTGGCATTGGCCGGGAATATGTGATGGGCAGCTAATTAAGGTTATTTGAAAATTAATGCAGAGTTGCTGGACATTTTCACAGTGGCATATTAATATTTTTTTATATACACAGTTTTGATGTGCCTGGATTGATAGACTGGGGGCACATATTGTTTTTGTCCTGCATGTCTGTTTGTAAACTTTATCTTTGCCATAAGTGATATTTTTTTAACCAATGAGAGATAAAGACTTAATCATATTTGGTATGCATACTCCACTAATTAAGTCCTTTCAAACGACACCAAGGTCAATGACCTTGTGACCTTGACTGTGACCTATATGCTAAAAATAGTTTTTTATTGAATATTCGCCATAATTTAAGAACCATGAGAAATAGAGACTATCATACTCAACTTATTTAGGTATTTAAAATGACACCAAGGTCTTTGACCTTGTAACCTTTGCTGTGACCCATATGCTAAAAATAGATTTTTTGAACCTTCAACATAACTTTTGAACCATGAAAGATGGCGACCTCATATTTGGTATGCATTCTTCACTAATTATGCTTTTTCAAATGACACCGAAGTCAATGACCTTGTGACCTTTACTGTGATCTATATGCTAAAAATAGCCTTTTTAAACCTCCACCATAAATTTTGAACCATAAGAAAAAGAGACTTCATATTTAGTATGCATATTCCACTAATTAAGTTCTTTCAAATGACACCAAGATCAATGACCTTGTAACTTTGACTGTGACCTATATGCTAAAAATGGTTTGACAAACTTTGTTGCTGCTTGGGGTATTAGTGTTTCAAAGACACGCGTACATCTTTTTTCAACAAAATTTTTCTATCTTTTCAAAGAATAGCATAAGCTTAAGTAGCTATTTCTTACTGACTCTGTGGCTTATTATGCTATTGATTTTTATGTTCCTCGACAGCACAGTTTGTTAATTGTTACATTGATAGATCATTATTTCTATTAAATACCAATTTAATATATATATAGGTAGTACTGCAGTGTTGCCTTAATATTTCGATCTGCAGCAAAACCTGAAATAATACATGTACTGCAATTGCTTTGCAGCAACATTGCTGCAACACCTTTCCGGCAATATTGCCGCAAATCTAATTTACATATGAAAAATGATATTGCTGCAATATATACTGCCAGAATGTTGCTGTACAATATTGCCGCAATATTAATGCCGCAACACTTTTCTGGCAATATTGCCGCAAATCTAATTTACATAAGAAAAACGATATTGCCGCATTATTGCTGCAATGTATTGCCAGAATGTTGCTGCAATATTGCAGCAATAATGCCAGAAGATGTTGCCAGAAGGTGAGTATTTTGGTAAGGGAATTGTTCAAAGCAATATGAGCTGTATCGTTGAGAATTTAATTTTTCTGATAAAATGTGTTATTATGATTAATTTGTATGTAATTTAAACCCTTACGACCAATAAGCCCAAAATAAACATTGAAAATGTTTCAGAAGAAATATTTCTGTACAACTGATCGAATATACATGCAGTTTTATATAAGAAATCATTATTGTACAGGACGACAATAATTCAATTTTGCTTCAATCATAGCTATATAATAAAAAAAATTCCATCGCAAATATGAGCGACAGAAGTTTATAAATGATTTATTTGTTTGTCATTAGAGTAGTTAATTACAAATTTGCAATAAAATTTTCTGATGTAAACATGCAGCTCATATTGCTTCAAATCATGACCCCCAGGGGTTAATTGGGTGGGGCCACAATGGGGAATCAGAGTTTTACATAGAAATATATAGGTAAAATCTTCTTCTCAAGAACCCCTGGGCCAGAAAAACTGAAACTTATGTGAAAGCTAAATCCGGGGATAGTGTAGATCTCAAATTGTCTAAATTATGATCAGTGGGGTAGGGTATAGGGTCACAATATGTAATACAAAGGGGGAATCTGGTAAAGAACAGCATGGGCAAAGCTTTTCAGGTGAGCGATGTGCCCCATGGGCCTCTTGTTTTTGTTGTCCTACACTGCACCTTAATTTTACGGTATTCTGTGTAGTTAGACTGACCCCATTTTTTTTGCACAAAAATCAAAAATCGATGTGAATAGTGCTCTGTATGACATATTTTTCCTGGATAAAAAAAGGCTCATTTCGTGCATTGACATTGAATTTTTTACTTTCAAAATACACCTATATATGATATAATTATTTCAAAGTCAAAAAAAAATTACAAAGGTGAAAGGACTGATAAAGGGTCCTTCCTTCGGACCAATCAGGTTTTTACTACATCGGGTTTTTAGTATTATCCAAAGCTTTTAAATAAGTCGTACATAGAAGTGCAAGGTGCATTAAAACTTTTCAAAAATAAAGTAAAATGGTGTATTTAAAATTGCAAATATTTTCATTTTATATCATTTGGTATCATACTGTATAATTTTTATATCTTTAGTATAAAATTCTAGAAACATCTCGAGTGACGATACTAGAGCGTTACTAGAGGTCAGCCATGTTTGTATTTCTTCACGACGAAGAGTTGGAAAAATGTCAGAGGGAAATGTGTAATGAATTCAATGTCTGAGTTGAGTTATCAGGCCATCCGCACGGCTAATCAGGCCAGGGAAGCGGTAAATTGTATTTTAAAAATTAAATATTGCCTGTGTATACTGAAATTAATGACGTTCTAATGACATAAGTGACAGTGTGGCAGTGGGGCAAGACACAAGCACTTGTTTTTGTAATTAATTTAATTTTTATGCTATAGTATACCTATAGTACATTAACAATAGAAGGGATTTGATGTAGGAGGTTGTGTCTTGAAATTATGTCATGAATTGTAAATGTCAAATAAATAAATTTTGAGAAAAAAAATTGTTTCAAAACTTTCAGGCATTAAAAAACAAAAAACAATGGCATGTTAAAAAAAGATATATCTATACCTAAAATCTATACACATAAACTCAAACCCAATTCAGCTCCTGATTCTGTACTCTGAATATAAAATTAAATTATTCAGAGTTAGTTTTGCTTCAGAAATAATTTCCTTAAATGCTGGTGTGGTAGTCGGTCAACGCATGCATTTAATCAACAGAAAACAAATACAATTTCTTCAATTTGAAGGCTCATTTCTCTTATTCTACCCAGAAGGCTCATTTCTCTTATTCTACCCAGAAGGAATAGAAGTTTACATGGTTGGATGGTAATGACTAAAGGCAGATGCTCATGGTATGACATATAGCACCCTTCATGTATAACAAGTCTCCAGTATTTAATGTAACAGGGACTGGTGGCTCAGTGGTTAGAGCACCCACATGTTAAGTGGGAGGTTCCCGGTTCGAGTCCCATTCTGGCTGACATTTTGCCCTGCCTGTTACATAACTATTTAGTTACACAATAAATGAAATGAGTCTTCATTTTGCTGCCCTGGCCCCCGAAAAACCCAACTCCAGTCAGCCTAATTATATTACTGCCTTTTCTTGTCCATGAACATTTTGTTTGCAAAGCTGGAAGTTCTTGGGTGTTACAATTTGCTTTCAATTTCCCTGTAAGTTGTGTATATGATTATCTATTTGACCCTTGCTATGTTTAAAACAATGTTTAGGAGCATGCACTTGCCAAGTTTAGTTGTAATGGTATTGAGTTTTCTGATATAAGTAACTTTACTGAATGTGTTTATTTTATAACAGTGCTAAGTTTGTGTTTTGGATTTTTTAGGATGAACTGAGAACTGACACAAGGAAGAAAAACTTACTAATCCTGGTATTAAATTATTTACATGAAGAAGGGTATGTATAAATATTTATGCAAAACACTTGATGGTGATTTTGAAAGAAAATGGTGTGTTTTAACAGTAACATGCCTTTATCTCATTTTATATATTAGTAGCTTTAATGTCACTTACACTCAGTCCATATTAAAATGTGATGTCACTTGACATCATCCTTCGTAAGTCAATTTTATAAGGAGTGTAATGATTGCAAGTTTTAAGCAAAAAAAAACTATAAATTTGTAGGTATGTGGACTCTGCCCAGTCTCTAGCGAAGGAAACCAACATTGACTTGAGTAAATATGAAGTGTGTGACAACATTGACTTGGAGACCATCCTTATGGAATACGAGTCGTACTATTACGTCAAGTTCTCCAAGTATCCTAAAATTACCAAGAAGCTAGGACCACAAAGTGGTAAGTGTGAAAAAGACAAACATTTCATGCTGAACAGAAAGTTTCTCATAATTGTGGTGGAACTCTGTCAAAGCCACTATACCCCCTCCTGCCTTTGGTTGATCCTGAGGGATATTGCCTTCTGGTTGCTTTAGTCTAGTATAAGAAATTTAATAGCCAGATATGTTCTAAATTTATTTCACTATTTAAAAATTGATTATTATTTTGATGAGAAAATTTATATTACCCAAGGATTTTTTTTTTTTAGTTTTAGTAAAAATGGGTTCCTGGTTCTATAAATGAAATTGTGCCTTGGTACAACAAATTTTTCTGATTCACAATGCACTATCTTTCATTTCAGATAACATTCGTAAGTTTTCTGTAAACCCTGGTATTAAATTTACAGAAATTTGCTTGATGTTGTCATAGTCACTAGTTTTGAAAGTTAACTTTTTGATGATAATACAGTGTATACAAATAACATTTTACTTTTGCATGAATGAATACATATATACCGAATAAAGTTTTTTTTTCACTTTTGCATGTATGTAATTCTCACCATCCTGTAGTTTTTGTTCTTGACATATATGATAGAATTTTGTTTATAATTCTGATTTATTGAAAAAACATTTAATACATGGTAATGTATGGTTTACCACAGCCTTAAGTCTAGAGTCTTGAAAACTTGAAACCTTTCCCAGTAGTGTAAATGATGACAATTTCTGATTAGACGTGCATGCTGACTAATGATTGGTTGATATTTTTATTACAGGATTCCCAGGTACTTGTTCTGTGCTTTGTTGTTGTTGTCCAGCTTTTTTGTCCACCCTGAGATTCTCGCTGACCTCTGTGTTAGATTTATGAAATAAATAATTTACAAAGAATTTTATATGTTGTCCAATCCAAAGGTATACAAATACAATATGTTACAATAAGTGAGAGAGACAGCAGAAACTCAGGGTGAGCTATAGCTATATTGCTGAGTTTTCCCCACATATTTCTCCTTGTTATAAAGCCTTGTTTCCTGTTCTCTCTCTAATATTGCATATGTTGATCAATATGTGTGATGTGTGAATTATTAACCATCATATTTTTTCATTTGAGTAAACACCTTTTAATTCATTTGGTTGTGCCATACTTTGCATTTAGTTTGCATGTCATGATAAGACTATGTGTTGATTTTCCTCCAGTCATTGACTCTTCTGTCACAATGGGTAAGATGTAATAAAAAAAGTTAGTTATAGATTATTATTAATGATACATAACCATCTCTCAGACTGGCATCTGGCACAAATTCACATCCACATGCACACAACAACAGGAGACTTGAAAAACCTTTAATTAATCTGTAGCACTTGAATTTGTTGGGCACCCAGGTGTCCAACTGCTATCTATTTTTTCTGCCATTATTTGTCACCCATGACATTACTTGTAAACTTTGGGAGAATTTACACTTCTTCTCTGAATTTTGAAAACCAAATGTACTCAATTTTTATACACAACATTCTTGAGCAGGAGGGGAAAACAAAAACAGGAAATTTTATGTCCTCCTTTTTCTTGGACAAAAGGGGTTTCTTTGGGACTAAAACTTCTAAAATGTTCATCTATTATTTTTTTAACCATAATATATTTAATGCCTCATGTGTCTTTGGAAAAAGTCAAGGAGAAAAGAAAGGAAAGCATAATTTTTTTTATACTCTACATCAAAAACAATGAAACTAATTAAAAATGTTTTCTGATAAAAATGAAACTAATTAAAAAATGTTTTCTGATAAAAGGACATATTGTTAAGGTCTACGTTGCTTAATCTAGCTGGAGAAGCCAGATATGTGTAGTTTTGTCAAGGTCATACATTTGAATTTGTTATAGAGAAACTGACAATGTTTTTTATCAGCTTGCCTGAGCTTAAAGCTCAAGTAAGCTTTTAAAACATTCAGATGGCTCTTGTCTAGAGAATTAGTGTAGGACGGTTGCCTCATGATGCGTATGTGACATTACAGCCCTTGGGCCTTCAGTTCATGGTTGCTATGGTTACTAAGAACTGCATGTTTATTGCTAAGTCTTTTTTTCCCTTAATATAGTAATGTATTTATTGTCTGTTACTTAAGCAAGTACAATTTGAAAACTGTTATTATTATAGCTACCTGCATAAAAACTATTCATCTTGCAGGAATATGTTTTATTTTCTTTTAACGTAAGTTGGTTATGCATATGATAAGTTTTTAAGTAACACTAAAAAGACATATAGATTCCTGTTGTGTATTTTGTGGATTACACGCCTGACAAACTGAATGCTGTGAACATTGCATCTTTTAAGCATCTTTAATTTAGCACTGTTTTGTTCATTTGTTCATTGGGTGAAGGGAATAAGCTAGGGGACGAAACAATATGATTAAAGTCAACTACATGACAAATATGCTTTGATCTGTCAATAAAAGTATACATCAATTTAAAAGAAGCATGACAGAGGATAAAATGGTAAAAATGACTTATAAAGAATGCAGGCTAATGAGGCTATAAAAATGTAACTTCTGATACAGCAGTTTTGTTTTAATCAAATCTAGGAAATAAATTTCTACTATTTATTGTGACATTTACTACTTTGTGAAATAAAAGTGAAGACACAGTGCTTTAGTTATGTTTTATGTGTGAGGTTAATTACCGTAACTAAGTAAGTTAGTTCTCCTGCACTGGAGGTAGAGCAGATCATTTGAAAGTTCAGAAATTGAGCAAGAAAATTAATGGAAAAAAAATATAATCCATGCAAGGAAAATTCTATCAATATTAAGCATCAAAGAAATTGATAAACATTCAAAATAAGATGAACATTAATTTTAACCCTTGGATTCACATTAAAAGTGTTTCCCCTGGATTTACAGTTTAAGTTTTAATTTTGAATTGTATAAGGGCAGTAACTCTAATAATAATTCTGCAATAGAACAATCTACAGAATTGACTGTTTTCATGATCTAAACTGAATAGCTAAATATAGAGGCACTTTTCCCCTGGAAAACACAGGCACACCCCCTTCCCTCCTCCAATTTATTTTCTGTTTCAATGTATAAGTATAAATAATGATGAAGAAGGCAGCTTTTAAAATATGGATGGGAAAGTTTTGATAATTTTCACATGATAAGAAATATGACTACATATGTAGATGATTTCAGAGCTATAGAAAATCATTGGTTCAAATTAAAAATCATTAATTCATAAAACAAGCCTAAAGCATTGTGATCTGCTACAAAAGAAATATAAAAAAATGAAATGTTTACAATGTTCATTTATTTTAAACAGCTGGAGACAGAAGAGGAGGCTCTCACAAGGTCGTGTCAAGGACAAATAGGTGAGTTTATTGATAATCATTAAACATGTTAGTACAAACATGAGGAAAGCTTGTCCTATGTGACCAAATCAGATCAACATTAAAGCACATTTTGCATCAAGAAAGCTGAGCCATCTTGTCCTATGTGACCAAATCAGATCAACATTAAAGCACATTTTGCATCAAGAAAGCTGAGCCATCTTGTCCCATGTGACCAAATCAGATCAACATTAAAGCACATTTTGCATCAAGAAAGCTGAGCCATCTTGTCCTATGTGACCAAATCAGATCAACATTAATGCACATTTTGCATCAAGAAAGCTGAGCTATCTCTTAAAAGGAAGGACACATTTACAAAATAGTGCCATATAATGACTTGGATGTACAATTTCACTTTTTGTTTATACATGAACTAATAATGACATTTTCATTAAAGACATTACACAGTAATATGCAGTATTTAAGCTCACCTCAAAGAAATCGGAGGGAGCTTATTATAATACCTTTTGGTTCAGTGTTGGCGTCCAAGGTTAAGGTTTTTTGAGTAGATTTCTTTTCATGTACTTCTATGCCCTCTATTTAATCAAAGGTATACCAGGCTGTCTGATGCTTCTAGTACACATATGTTCCAGGTACCCAGTCAGGGTACTTCCAGATTCTGCAATATCAGCTAAAGAAGAAAGTTTTTAGAGTAGCTCTTACCAAGTACCCAGTAACTCAGTCTGTTTAAAACTGACACCCCCACCCTTCTATCATTATCAGCATGCAAGTAACTATATTAAGCTTTATATAGTGACCAAACTTGCCTGGATGATACATCTAAGGATTCAAACTAGTGGAAACTAGCTTCAGATGCTGAATCTGAGTCCAATTTTTCCAGTTGATTGACCAGGTTAAAGTTTTTGGAGCAGGTCTATTAACCAAGTATATATTATGGCCTATCTGAACCAAACTTGTATGGATGATGTGATGCATCATTGGATGTACACCAAAGTAATTTGACCTACTCAGGTAAGCGACCAGGGTAAAATTTTTGGGGTAAGTCCATTTCCAAGAAATTACATGTATATGGCCAGTCTGACCCAAACTTGCATGGTTGATGCATTAAAGGATCAATGCACACTACAAGAGTTAATGCTTCAAATACTGGTACTGGATTTGACCTACATTTTCCAGATAAAGTTTTTGAAGAACACCCAATCTAGTGTAAGACTTCAAGCCTTGTCAGATGGGCATAAAAAGTTATATCTATAATAGGAATGAACATTGTTAGATTATTAGCCTAGTTAGGGACTTTGCCATACTTAAAGATAATATTCAATGAGATTCACTCGATCTTTAATCTTTGATTACCTATATGTTTGAAACCTTAAAGTGTTAATTGGAGGTAGAAATACATGTGTATTTTGTACATTTTTAAGAAGTATTATTCTGCTTTGTTGCGATCAGCTTTTAAGCTTTTGTCATATACAGCTTTGCAACACTTACATATTCTAACCTCACTTTTAATCTCAGTTCATATGAATTTCAAAATTATAACCCATGAAAACAAAGTCAAGATAATTAATCTTTATCTTATATGTTTAAAACAGTTTTAAATTTATTATATATTTGTCAAAAAGTTTGACAAGACGAGTGAGATCAGGTTCTCAATCGGCTCATCAACACAGCGGGTATGTAACTGAACACCAGGTGGAGACACTTGTAATAGAGCCAGCCATATTGTATAACATCT